TGTTTAGGGTAAAAATACCCTAAGACACGTGGCCCAATAAAAGCCTGCCACGTGTCAAGTTTGCAACGGTCAGCAAAGGCCCAATCCCTTTGCGACACGTGTCTTTGTACCCTAATTGAGGTACTGCTCTCCCCTACTATAAATAGTAAGGGCAGACCTCATTTATGGGGATCGAATCCTTTTCCCAAAAACCAACAAAACACAAATCCCCTTGCAAAAACGCTCTCAAATCGAGAAGCATTTATTGTCTTATTTCCACATTTAGAAAGAGACTAACTTAATCTTCGGAGGCGGAACACCCCAGCCCCAGCCGGAGTATTCCGTTATTTGTGCAGGTACAGGCGAAGGAAGGAACATTCTAGGAAATTGTAACTCTCCTGTAGGACACATAAAAACCCCCAAACAATTCCCAAGCTTATTGAGCCACTACGAAAATATTAGAGTCAGATCGTATTTTATGGTCGTATATTTATTTGCCCAAGATCGAGTTAAAGGAAATTGGTTCGGTGATTAAGGGCTCAATTTATGAAAAAAAAAGGTCCAAAATAATAATTCGGACCAAGTAATGAGCAAGCAAGTTAAGGATTTTGAGCCCAATACCAAAAGAAGTCAATTGCTAGGCATGTGAAAATAGCGGGCCCGATCGGGCGGCCCCATGCCCGATTGGGCGAATGCATTGCGAGTTTGCTGATTGATTAATTATGTTGGCTTTGATTTCCTTGGGAGTTTGATTAGTAGTGGGATTTGTAAAAATCCCTTTTGCTGGGTATATAAGGGGGTAGTACGTAGGTAGGAGGAAGTTAGTTTTTAATAATTTTTATTAGTTTTAGTTTGGCTTTTCTTTATGTAGCTTTATTTTTAGTTTCTTAGATTAGTTAGCTTTTGTTAGATACTTCGCGATGATATTTGTTTAGTTCGTATTTTTACGTTTCTCATGTTTTATTATTATTGTTTTCAGTTTAATTTTATTTATTGCTTTTCTATTAGCTTATTGATCAATCATGCTTTCTTTAATTGATTTATTAGTTTAGATTTAATTATGTGTGAGTAGTTTTATTTTAGGGTTGTGGGGATCCATGAATAATATGAAGGGATGATTTATTATTGTTGATTGTTAATGTTTTAAATTGATTTCCTATTGATTGATATAATGCTATACAATTAGATTAGCGTTGGTTTAATTGTATGACTTATGCAATATTGATTTGAGATTCGACAGATGAGAATTGATGTTAAGGCATAGTTTCAATAGGCAGGTTAATTTATAAGTGGTTAAGTCAAGATTAGAGAGATGCGATTTAATACCGCTAAGTTAATTCTGTGATTGTAATACGTAGTGAAAGCCCTTTATAATCTGGTTAATTCATGCATTGATAATTGATTGTTATCTTTGATCATGGAATATAATTTATTATATGCCCTAGGCTTTTATTTCATTGATATTCTCCTAGTCTTATTTGCTTAGTTTAATTAGTTCCCTTAGATTAACTCACATAAAATCATACTTGTTACTTGATAATTTAGATTATAATAATTAATTAGGAGTAAAAGAACATTGTTTTCTTTTGGATTCGACCCTACTTCCCTATCTATTTTAGTTAGTGGCTTTAGGAATAACTTTTGATTAGGTGATACGACTTTAACCTGTTAGTACACCCTCCAGAGTCATCAACCGATGTGACCCCTGTCTGAGGGTTTCATATATCTAATACGGACCTTCCCAATTTGCGGTAAGTTTGTCATCTGTATTTCCCTTACCAGTAGCTGTCGTTCTTCGTAAAACCAGATTGCCATCTTCAAGAGGCCGATGGCTAACACGTTTATTGTAAGCCTGACTCATTCTATTTTTATAAGTTGTAGACTTGACTGCGGCCTTCAACCTTACCTCTGGAAAAAAATCTAGTTGTTGCCGCAACAGAAGGTCGTTTTGCTCCTCACAGTAATGCGGGATATGAAACGTGGGAAGGCCGACTTCGGCTGGGATAACCGCCTCTGCACCGAAAACAAGGTTGAAAGGTGATTCCCTAGTGGATTCCCTTGTTATCGTTCTATTGGTCCATAATATCTCAGGCACTAAATTGGCCCATAGCCTTTTTGCGTCTTCGATTTTCTTTTTCAGTGCACATAGTATATGTTTATTTGCGGCCTCGGCCTAACCGTTTGATTGTGGATGGCAAACTGCTGCGTAGGCAAACTTCACCTTATATATGCTCAAGAAATTTTTGACAGGGCTGCAATCAAATTGGGAGCCGTGATCAAATACCATTACCATCGGCAATTGTACCAATTTCTCCTGACACAATACTAATTCTCCTGGCTGAATCCATGGGCAGGCAAGAGACAACCTGGCGAACTAAAACAAACCAAACCGGGTGAATATGTTTTTCTAGAGGAACTTCTTCACCTTATTCGTCGTTATTTTTGCTATCGGTTTGACCTCTATCCATTTGGTGAAGTAATCCAGTCCAACAATTAAGAATTTCCTTCCCCCAGTAGCCGATGTAAAAGGTCCAACAATATCCATTCCCAATTGCGCAAATGGCACCAGATTTAAGATGGGTATCAAGTCGTTTGGCGGCTGGTTTATTACCGGCCCAAACTTCTAGTATTTATTGCACTTTTTTGCATAGGCAAGCATGTCTGCATTCATTGTCGGCCAGTATTAACCTCTTTTCATAGCTTCTAAAGACATAAACCGACCACCTGCATGATTCCCGCATTCACCTTCATGAATTTCTTCTATCAACCTTGCAAATTCAAATGTCTTTATGCACCTTTGCAGCGGTAATGAGAAACCTCTCTTATATAACATTCCGCAAAACATAACGAACCAAATGCTATCCTTCTTCACTTTTTGGGCTTCAAGATTATCAGCAGGGAGGGCATCATATAACTTGTAAGCCAGAATATCATCATACCACTCTCGGCCCCTGTCAATGCAATTAACCTCCACACGAGCTACATCAATACTTTTGCGATCTAGGATCTCTACCATCACCGTTCCCTCCAAATCGTTGAAGCTTGAACTCGCCAATTTTTCCGAGGCATCTGATTCCGCATTCCGGGCACGTGGGACCAGGTTGATTTTAAAGTTCTCTAACTTTGCCATTATTTCTTTTAATTTGGCCAGGTAAGCTATCATTGTTTGCTCTCAGGCCTCATATTCTCTTCTAAACTGGCTTGCAACCAATTGTGAGTCCGTTGATAATTCAATTCGTTTTGCCTCCGCCGTTATGCATAACTGAACTCCCGCGATTGCTGCTTCATATTCAGGTTTTCCGTTATTGGAAGCCCTGAACTTGAACTTTATAGCATACTCGAATACATCTCCATGCAGGGAAGTCATTATAATACCATCTCCTGAACCTGTTGAAGCTGCTGAGCCGTCAACCGAGACCTTCCATGTTCCGACATCTTCCTCTTCATCTGTGTAAGATGCTTCAACAATGAAGTCAGACAAAGCTTGTGCCTTTATAGACACTCGTGGTTTGTAAACTATATAATATTCCGACAGCTCTATGGCCCATTTAAGCAGACGGCCGGAAGTTTTCACTTTCTAAAGGGACTTTTCTAACGGCTGATTCGTCAAAATTTCAATTGTATGTGCATCAAAATACGACCTCAACTTCCGCGTCGCTATTACTACTGCGTACGCAATCTTTTCTATCAACCGGTATCGTCGTTCCACATCATTCAAGACATGACTCATGAAGTATATGGGAATTTGTACCTTCGCTCGCTTTACAAGTAGCACCGTCGTTACCGTTTTCGGAGATGCTGAGATGTACAACTGCAGCTTCTCTCCTTTTTCTGGCCTAGCTATTGTTGGTAATGACCGAAGGTGATTTTTTACCACCTCGAGTGCCTTTTCCTGCTCTTTCCCCCATACGATGTTTTATTTTGCCGCAACACGACGAAGAATAGGAGAGCTTTATCGGCTGATTTGCTTATGAATCAAGTCAATGCTGCCATGCAGGCTGTGAGCTTTTGTATGTCTTTTATTGATTTCGGTTGTAGCAAGCTGAGAATAGCATCAATCTTATTGGGGTTTGCATCAATTCCTCTTTCACTAACCATAAAACTAGAAATTTCCCCGATTTTACACCGAAAACGCATTTTTTCCGGATTCAACTTCATTCTGTACTTTCTAAGAGTATCAAACGTTTCTCGCAAATCGACAATGTGATCTGTAGCTAATCGGCTCTTCATAATGGAATCATCCACATACACTTCTACGTTTCTACCCTTCTGATTTGCAAACACTTTGTCGACCAATTTCTGATATGTCGCATCTGCATTTCGCAGCCCAAACGGCATTGCTTTGTAGCAATAAACTCCAACGTCTGTTATGAAGGCGGCCTTAGTCCTGTCGAGCTCGTATAAACTGACTTGGTGGTATCCTGATAAAGCATCCATAAAGCTCAATAAAGCATGGCCTGAAGTTGAGTCTACCAGCCCGTCTATCCTGGGAAACGGATAACAGTCCTTTGGAAAAGCCTTGTTTAGAGTAGTTAAACCGACACACATCCTCCATTTTCCTGACGGTTTCTTCACCATCACCACATTTGCTAACCACTCAGGGTAAGTACAAGGTTCTATAAATCCTGCTGCTAGCAACTTATTCACCTCAGCTTGTATAGCTTCTATTTTCTCGATCGAAATTTTTTTTTTCTTCTGTCTTACCGGCCGTGCTTTTCTATCCACATTCAACTTGTGTACCAATGTCATGATGTATCCCTGGCATTTCATCGGCCGAGAAGGCAAATACATCAGCATTCTCTCGCAAGAGATCAACTAAATGACATCGCATGTCAACATCCATGTCTGATCCAACTCTTACCGCTCGGCCTGGGACTCTTGGTTGTAATTCCACTTCAACGGTTTCTCCTCCCGACAAGGGATGAGGTACCGATATTGGTCGTGTATCAAAATGCTTCATAGACAGGTTATGTGTAGATGGGTTCTTCCCTTTTCTGACCTACACCATCTACTGGTGGCTGTCAGCATGGTTGTTTCAGCGCCGTCACATAACATTCTCTGGCCATGGTCTGGCTTCCCCTAACACGTTCAGGGAAACCGGTATTAGCTATGTATATCGTCGTCATGTGGTATAATGATACAACTGCCTGCACACCATGGATCATCGGTCTACCGACGATAGCGTTGTATGCCGGCGGCACATCCTCTACCAGAAATTCCGTCATTACATCTCTTGCGGCGGCTCCTTCACCGATATGGACCTGCAGCAAAATACTGCCCTCGGGCTTGACGGTAGATCCATTGAAGCCAATGACTGGGTACAGCACCTGTGTTAACTATTGTCTTCCAATCATCATGGCGTCAAAGGCCTTTGTAAACAATATGTTTGCAAAACTACCTCCGTAAACCAAAACTCGCTTGATCAAACTGCCGTTAATAGCCAGTATGAGCACCAATGGATCATCATGAGGAAAAACAATGCCTTTAATATCAGCTTCTGAGAAAGACACTAAGGGAATGTTGGAGGGCCGAGGACGGTCTTCTACACCAAAAGCGTTCACCACATGCCTATGCTTCGACAAGCTTTTCTTGGCGCCACTGACGGATCCGCCATGCACCGGCCCGCCAGTAATAACATCCACCACTATTTTACGCCCTGACAGCACTTGCCCCTATCTTGACATGTCATTCTGCCGACCTACCTCAGGTGCATGTCTATGGTCTGATTGCTGGTATTCAATCTGCCTGTCGGAGGTTGTTGTTGCCGACTAGTACCCTGCTGAGCTCGATACTGAGATAGGTGTCCTTTCTGAATCAGATCCTCAATGTTTTCTTTCAACTGAATGCAATCCTCTGTATAATGGCCGGCATCTCTATGGGACATGCAGTATTTCTTCATGTCTCTGCCCTTGGCTTTCATTGGTGCCGGCCTGGTCCAATCTTCCCTTTGCTGGTTTATGGAATAGATTGCCGCCTTGGGCGTGTTCAGCTACGCATAATTATTGTATCGGCCCAGGCCCTTTTCCCGGCCTGCCTGCCCTTTATTAACTTTGTTGTGCCGGTCTGCTTACTTCATGTGACGTGTTGTCAACTAGTCGCCGACTTGACTCTGTCGGCGCTAGTTTGCTACTGGCTTTTTAAAGCTCTTCACTCTTCATATACTCATGTGCTTTGCTGAATGTTGCGCCTAACTTCAGGAAGGTTTTTCGGGCCATAAAATCACAATCACCCAACCCATTCATGAGGGCCATCACAGTTATTTCCTGCTGCAGCTTGGGAATTGTACTTGCTTCGTTGTTAAAACGTCTAACGAAATCCCTTAGAGATTCATCCTTTTTCTGATTAATTGCCATCAACTCCCCTGACATTCTCTACCGTACACTATTGCATATGTATTGGCCTGTGAACATCTTTACCAGAGTTTCAAAGCAATAAATTGAATCGGGCTCTAGATTCGAGAACCAATCCGAGGCTGCTCCCGTCAGTGTTGTCGGAAAGACTTTGCACCACACGACATCCGTGTCGGTGTACAATAGCATATGGCTCTCAAATGCAGCCACATATCTCTTGGGGTCACCCTTGCCGTCATGTTTACATGACGGCATTTTGATTTTTTTTCCATTTGCTGGTCTAGGATCTCCTGAGTGAACGGAGAGACTCTTGGCCTGACCACAGCTTTAGTCACGCGCCTAGATGGCCCACTGCTAGCTTCTTGCCTGTGAGATCCCGAATCTTCAACCCGCGTACTAGAAGGAGCTTGGCGCTCCCTTTCTAACGGTCCTGGCCTTAACGAGGGTGACCCTTCTCGCGGCGGTTGCCGAGGTGGGAATGTAGCCTGATTAAATTGACTCTCCAAATTAGTGAACACGGGCACAGACTGTGCCCTGTTTCCTCCTACCCTACCAGTTGCTGCTTCATCGACTTCTTTCCTTTTTCTGGACATAGCACGCATCACCCTTACTATTAGTTCTAACTCCTCAGGAGTGAACTCATCCACAGGATCCGGGATGATGGCGTGAGGTCATTCTGGTGTTATCGGCATATTTGTCGGGTCATTGCGAATAAGGTGGGTTTCATCTTCCACCATGATTTCGGGTACGTTGTTAATAGTTTTACTTGTACCGGCATTGAGAATACCAGTGCCATAATTTTGATTATCGGTTCTTGGAACTGGTACTATGGTTTCATTGTTCCCCTCCATGACTACTTAAGGTTCTTTGGACGATAGAAGTTATTAATGTCCTCTCCTTCTAGCGCCAATTGTTCCGGGTGTGCTTTGGTAACTTGAGTCTTGAGGTCCGTAAAGGTTTATCGGCCAATTAAGTACCTGCACAGTTAACCCAAATTAGCTAACCCGGGGGATTATCTAAGGATAACCACTCCGATGCTAAAGTCAACAATTTGATGAGAAGAATAAGAAAGGAGATAAGAGAGAGTGTTTAAGAGAGAGAGAGAGAGAGAGAGTTAGAGAGGTAAAGATCGTACCTTAATAAAGAATTATGCTTGGATATTTATAGGAACACAACCAAGTGGCAAGATGGCTTCATAGGCAACAGGTGCTTACGTGGTCGAAAGTAGCTCTCCACGTGGCCGTGATTTAGGCCATTATGGAGAGTAAGCCGATATGAGAAATAATGGATAACTAACAGCGTAATTTTCTTTAGTGGACAAACCCTAATGGTGTCGACACTATCCTGTACAACTTCCTTTGGTCTTTTATAATGGACTCTCTCTTAATTTACGAGTGCAGCCCAGACCCGTATTTAACAACTTCAAAGTTACAAGGTGGATTCACCGACTACACCAATCGATGGGTTTTGACTTATGGATAGAATCCGAACTACTGTACTCTGAAGTTGGATGCAAGTCATACAACTCGTATATTCGGACCCAAATACTAGTCTACGGTGTACCCACCTGTTTGCCGGCATAATAGACATAATTGTCAGGGTCACGTGACACAGCATGGGGGGTAAGTGGTCTTTTACTTTAAAGAGAAAAATAAAAAGAAGAGCGTACGGTCAAATACAGTAAAAGGACAATTCTGTTTTCGAAGTGACGTGGCTAGCTGTTATCCGTTGATATAGAATTCAATGGTTCTAACTTCTAAGCTTACAGTCTCAGACATCTCACGTGATAAGCCTGCTCCCATTTAATCTGCAACAACTACAGTACTAATTAACCTTTTTTTTTATTTTACTCCGTATTATTTAATCCCAAAGTGACATTATTTCTTCTCCAACCATTTACTTATTTTTTAATTATTTTAAATTAATAATTTTTATAAATTTTAGCTTGGTATTTAAATTTTGTAAAGCAAGTTGTAAATTAATAAAATTTAAATTTATTTTCTCTAAATTAGACATACTTCATATATTACAGTAATTAAACTTTTGCTTAACACATTATGCTGTTTAATTTAACTGTTTATGTATATAAATAAGTTGAATTGAAGTGAACAAAGTTTAAGATGAATCTACATTTAATACTCGTATTAACTTATTTTATAGTATCAACTTTTTATCTTCAGGGATCCAAGATTATAGTATCTATGATTCTTTAAGAATAAATTTACTTATAAGATTCTTTTTATTGTATACAACCATTACTACACAAATTTTAACGTTTAAAAAAGCATACTCTAATTTTGATAAGGTTTTTTAGATTGTTCTAAAGTCAAAATTATCATATGCTTCCTCCATTTTTTAATAGTTGCAACACATATATTTTACGATATTTTAGAAAAGATAAACTTACGTGATTTAATATACTTTAAAATGGGGTGAGAGGTTGTTAGAATTACTCCCTCCATTGTGTAATAATCGCAATAATAGGCATGCATGACAGGTAGTTTTCGGAAAATTATAGGGTTGAGACCAAGTAAGAGTTTAATGATACATAGTATAGTTGGTAGGGATATATTTAATTGTTACTCACACCGTTTCATATTAAATGCAATATTAGGGTATTCATAAAAATTAAGAAAATTTAATGGGTGGGGCCCAGAAGAGGATTTTTATAATATAAAATACGGTGATTTCACCAAATGCCACTGAGTTTTTAAAAATTCACCAAATGCCATGAAATTTTCACAAATTCACCAAATGCCACCAAACTTTTAAAAAATTCACTGAATGCCATTAATGACTAATGGTCGTTAACTCCGTTAGTTATTAGGATTAAATCATGACACGTGTCATGATATGATTAGTTCATTTTAACCATTTATTTTAATTAATAAATATAACATTTTTTCTCGATTTTTGTGACGAAAATTGCTCGGGTAAGTTTTGGGAGTCATTTTGATCCTTTATGATATTATTTAAGAGATATAAAATATTTCAAAGTTGCATATAAAAATAATCGGAGGTAGTAATAAAAAAAAAAAAAAAAAAAAAAAAAAAAAAAAAAAAAGTAGTCTAAGTAAAGTTGGTAGGAGAGAGAAATAATAAAATAGTAGTGGATCCTTACCAAATAAAGAAGTGTTGTAATTATTATGAAACGAACGAAAAAGGAAATTGTTGCGATTATTACGAAACGGATAGAGTATAATTTAGTGGGTCATGATTTTTTTTTTTTTTGAACGAAAGTGGGCTATGTATTTTAAATAAAGAAGTGTTGTAATTATTATGAAACGAACGAAAAAAAGGAAATTGTTGCAATTATTACGAAACGGATAGAGTATAATTTAGTGGGTCATGATTTTTTTTTTTTTTTTGAACGAAAGTGGGCTATGTATTTTAAATAAGGGAAATAGTATAACTTTTCCTCAAAATACCTTTTCAATTATAGTGTGTTGCAAGTATTGTGACATTTTCGTTTTGAGGAAGTGTTGGAAATATTAAAATTTGGAGGAAGTATATTTTATTGAAAACCAAGTGGTCATATGCTAATTGCATTAATTTTAAAGTTAATTTAAGTATGAAACGTTTACAAAAAGCTAAATTATAGTAACATGTTAATTAATTCAGAGATTTTTAATTAAACTGTATTTGTTAAAACTTTTTATTATTTTGTTAACTTTATAAATTAATATTCCCAAAAAAGTATAAATACATGTCTTGATGGCAAGTTGGCAACATGCAGACGGTTGTATGTCTTGTATCTGGTTAAAGACAAAAGAAAAGGAAAGAAAATAGATGGGATCAAATAATTTAAGGAGAGAAAAGATTAATTATTCAGGTATAAATTGAAATTAATTATTCTGCAATTATCAAAAAATAACAAAGAAGAGATTCTGTACAATGTTACATGTTTTCACACGACCACTGAAAGCAATTTAAAAATAAGAGTATAAATTTTTAATTATGATAATAATGGAGAAATCTAGCATGACTAAAGGAGGTTGTCTGTCTTAGATTTTAGGGAACTGCCATTGTGACTAGGGGTGTACACCGGTCCAAAACCGGATCGGACCTGGACCGGACCTGTTTGGATCGGGGACCTGAATTGGGTAATTATGAGGACCGGGGACCGGACCTGAATTAACAGGTCCGGTTCCGGGCCAGACCTGAAAAATCAGGTCCGGTCCGGGTTTGGACCTGAATGGACCTGTTTTGTGTCTTTTTCGTTTTTTTTTTTTTAATACAAAACCTGTTGGACCTGCATATGGACCTGCATATGGACCTGTTTTGTGATTTTTAGACCTGTTGCATAATTTAATAATTACATACAAACCAAAATTATCAATTACAAAACTACATAAAGTCTATAAAGTCCCGATTCTCAAACACCAAAAATACAAATGAGTCCACCGAAAATACAAATAAGTCCACGAAAACTCAGTTTCAATTTTTCAGAGTTTGGTTTTCTTCTTTTTTTTTTTTTTTAATTACGATTTTCCCGGGTTTCAGGTCCGGACCTGAAAACCCCGGGTTTGGACCGGGTCCGGACCAGGACCGGGAACCTGGATTTTTAAGA